AAAAAGTGGAAATATGAAACGTTCCGGTTGTATAAATAACACAAATCATATCTCTTGAATAGGTTACAAATTAAAAATTTTGCACAAAAGTTTCAAATGACCTTTTTATACAATAGTATATAATAAAATAAATTTTAAAATATGAAGGTAATCTTACGATCGAAACGACATTTTTTAACTCTTGCCTATTTCGCAACGGTAGCGGCGGTCTGTTTTTTTTATATTAGGGCATTTTTTTAAATTGCTGAAATATTCGTCAAATAACGCCTTCTGCATAACCTTTTTTTATGGACTACAATTCAAAACTATTTGTCTTCCAAAGAAAATGGCTACACTAGTAAAAATTTGGAACATTGAGGCATTGTATAGAACGATCCCTAAAAAATTGGTCTATATATATATTTTAGAAAGATGACATTTTTAAGAAGAACTCTTTTGAATATTTTTCTAAACCATCTTTATGTTTTTTTATATTTTTATTTATATTTTTATTTTTATAATATTGTGTTATATTTTTTACTTTATATTACATTTTGTGCTTCGATATTATAAAAATATAAATATATAATATACATATTTTATATTACCAGTAAGGACTATAAAGTAAAGCCATCTAAAGTAGAGACATCTTTGATATTTCTCTTCTTAAATATTATTAGCGATAACTCGAGCAAACTTTTAACTTCAATGTAAGAATATCATGCGAATTATGATAAATATAAATATATAAATGTATGATATGTTTCTAGAAAAATATCGCGTAAAATTATAATGAAATTAGTTAATTTCACTTAAAAAGTTATTATCTGAAAATATCTTTAAAAACTATAATATTAAAAGCACAAACCCATAGTATAATTACTACTTATTGATTAACAATTTCTAAATGATTCCAAAATATCGCAGCTTTCGTTATATATATATTAAATAATTCTTATGCAATATATTTCGAAACATTCTAAAATGGCGTTCAAATTATACACTCTATTACCCGATTGAAAAAGCTAATTTCTCATTAATGAAATATTTAACTTTTACCTTTACAAAAAGTACCAATGGAGGATTGTACGTCTCGAGTAAGCTTTGTACAAAAAATTGTCAAAAAAAAGTACGATAAATAAACGCAAAGTTTCTTGGATCAGTAATATAGAAACGAAGAAAAAAAGATTTAACTCACTGAATATGTGAATAAGTTCAAATAAAGACATCATATTTTATTTACAACTTCTGTAAAATTAAAACATCAAAATTCTGGATGAAGGATTCGGTTTACAACCGAAACGGTTTATTACAAACGGATATTCGAAAGAGATAACGTCTGTTATCTCTTTCCATGTTTTCGAAAGGAAAAAATTCCATCTACAATTTGTATCTTTTAACCAGTACCTGATATCTAATAATTATTAATATTATATTTTTCCTAAATTATCAAGAATTCGTAAATTATCAAGAATTCGTTCTTTTACGTATTTTGGGCTTTTACGATCAAAATGAATGGTTTTAAAGGATTATGGTTTTAAGAGTAAAGGGTTAAGGGATAATCTTTTACCTGCGAAGACTATACGCATGATATAAAATAGTCTTATTTATGAAAGACTTGTATATAATTTCTCATAATAAAAGGCCTATATTTATATAAATTTGACTCATTTTCAGTATAATACAATTATATTTTTACTGAACTGACATCTTGTTATTTCTATTATTGATGAATTTCTAATGTCGCGTTGCAGCTAAAGGATTAAACAAATATAGAAAGTATCGAATATTTTTATATTATATATACATGCGATGTGTTAAACAATTGGATATTTTCTTTTGTGTTTAACTGATTTTCTCGAGGAACGATTTTTCAATAAAAATATCCAAGCATTTATATTGACAACTAAATATTGAATAATTAACGATTAAAAAGAATAAACTTATTTTTAGAATTAAATTTCGTGAAAAAATTACAAAATTATGTTTTTTAATTATTTTAAATGCATTTTATTTAAAATTTTAATTATACAAAATTTTAATTATAAAAAATATATATATGTTTGTATACATAATATTAAATGCAGGAAATATATAATAAATAATGATAATTTTTTTCAATTTTTCGCAGAAACCTATATTTTTAGGTGGGTCCAAAAGGTTACAGTTAAAAAAACATTCTTGATTTTAAAACACGTGTAATTTTTCTCTCTTTCTCTTTCTCTTTTTCCTCTTTCTCGTATGTATGTTTTAAATATTAACACCTATATCGTATATTTTAAGAAATTTCTACCATATAGCTTTAAAAATTTAACGAAAATCATTTGAAATAAAATAAGAAAAAGAATATTATCTACGTTTAATCAAAGTTTAATTTGCAAGAAATATATATTTTATTTATATACTATATATTTTCGCGTATATCTAAAAAATTATGATTATTTGATATTTTCATTAAAGGATATAGAAGTTTAAATGAAGAATAAATAAAAGGAAAAGAAATTTAAGATGATAAAGATCTAAGATAGCAGTATACATACAAATCTTCGATCTCGTATCTCTCGTATCTCTTTAAAAAGCTAGGGAAAAACGGAGTGCAGTAGTTGAATCTGAATCTTTCTGGACTTTTCGGGCGATTCATATTCTTGCTATTTTTCTCTGGGGTCGCTTCTTTTTTTTCTTCATCTCAACTGATTTTTCATAACACATTCTCGAAAATACAATAAATTATAATCACGCGTATACTAATTAAAGGAATACTCGCAGTCAGTCCTTTGCACGATACTCCCGATCTTAATTGTAGGTAATAATGACTGTTTTACAATTGCATCGTCACGAAGAGACAGCGAAAATTTACATATCATTCATTTCGATAATTTTTATTTGCGAATATTATGTTACTCTTTTTTAGAATAATTATCATCTTGTATTATAACTTTTAAATACATAAGTATACGAATAAATGTACGAATTAAAGATAAATATCACGAACTGTATACAAAAAAAATATTCATCAATATAATTAGTCATCCGATTGTCTGCATAATCAATTTCAATCGAATAACTCTCGAAATATGCGTTTCGATATATTATAACAATGTCTAAATTTTCAAAATTTATATGTGAAAATATGAAGAATATTAATAATGATTATCAATAGTGATTATAATTCGATAACTGTCAATAAATATTTATTTCTATGAATTTAAATCGAAACAAGAACGAAAAATGAGATACGTAAACGCAAAATTTATAGCAATTATAAAACTATTTATCGTCTATGTGACAATGAAACAATAATTTATAACTGTTGTCTCTCATTATTTTAATTTCTATTTTAAAAAAACTGAATTGCGCAAGATATGTTTTGATAAATAATCGGTTTATGTTAATTAATATCACAGGTTGATTATCGTTCATTGTAATAATAATAACTATAAATATGATTGCATATTTATTGTATTTCTTCCGATATTTTGAAAAGAGTATATGCGGCATATATCGGAGCGACTGACGTCAGCTGGAATCTTATCGAATGACAAAGCGATCATATGTAAACAGTAGTACGCTACACGTCACAAAACATATTCGTCGCGCACATACATATACGAACGCCGAAATTTACGTTGTATATGTACGCGGTCACCTTGTTATCATTCGTGCGAAGACGCTCGAACAAACAGGCAACGGCGCAAGATCGCTCCGTGTGTCTTCGCGTTATTTTTCGAAAATTATTTTCACGCGATCATTCTTCTCAATTAATAAAATATGTAGAAACAACGATTATTTGTCAGAGCATATACAATTTCGGGAATCACTTAATCTAATAAAGATCGAAGTACTATGAAATATAACTTATTAATTGCTATCGTTTTATTGCGATATTTAAAGTAATGATTATTTCTTTGATATCTAAATTAAAATATATGCATTTTGCATTGAGATTAGAATTTCTGGCGAATTTAAATATAATATATTCATAATTATCGATCGAATAATAGAAAAAAAATAAATTGTGGTACGTCGATCGTTTATTAATACATTTAGTACATTTTCATAAAATTTATGTATCTGCGCTCACAATACTGAATTTCGTGTAATTTATCGAAACAAGCCTTTTTTTATTTAAAGATTTATTCGATGCAAGTAGTAAGGAAAGATAATTACACTTTCGAGTGCGCAGTTTGTAGATATTTATCTTTAACCCATATATTTATTCACCGTTATAAAACAAGATAGTAATTACTCTAAACACACTCGAGAATATATAATATTCATTAATATCAAATAAACATCATTGAAACAAGTGGATACATGAATTTTCGTGTCGTTTTCTTGTCACAACATAATTATTAAAATGTGCGTCGCATTTTTTAACGCCGAGAATATCGTGCAAAGCGTTGGATGAATATCGTATTCCATAGTTCACATACAAACGTATTAATTGTGATTAATTGTATTATCGCGAGTGTGATGTGAGTGTTATAACGAAGCAGCGAGGGATGAATAAAACACGAGAAATAGAATTAAGAATGCATCATGCGGCGGAGCAACCTAGCGTAAGCTATTCATATAATTTAATTAATTTATTATTTGTTACTTGTGAAATTAATTACTCGTTTATTTCCTCCTTAATGATCTATTTTAAATTTTATTTATTTATTTCAAAATATTGAAATAATATATATGTGTAAAATATTTAAAATAATATATATACATATATGTAATTTCTTTTTACATTATTTTAGATGTATAACCAATTAAATTAAATGAAAGTTAGATTTTTATTTGTCATATTTTCTCTATGTATATCCATATCATATCATATTTTCTATCTTATAATTTTTTTATTACAAATCTATTTAAAGGATAAGTGTAAGAAACTTAAATGGGCGCAATAATCACTCTTTGAAATATTAATTATTTTAGATTGCGCATTATTATAAACTACTTTAGATCATAAATTATTTTAAAAATATTAAGTAACTGTTTTATAATTTGAGTTTTTCTGTGTTTTACAGATTAACGTCACATTCTGCAACTCTGCCAGCTACGCATCATACTGGTGAGTGTTAAATTATTACTAATTTTAATCTTGAAATAATAAATTACGAATATTATATCAGATATGAGTATGCGCATAGCAAAAGAAATAAGAATTAAAATATACATACAATTAAATAAATTGTTCCTCTTTCTTGAGAAATATGAAATACAATTCTTTAACAAGTATTTTTGAAATTTGCAAAAAGTAATCATGAATTTTAAACATACATTTAAACGCGCGCTGATATTTTTATCTAAACAAGATTTTTTTTCTTTTGTGATTAAATTAATAAATTAAAATTATTAAATTAATTGTTATTAAATTATTTTTTTCTTGCTAAAGAAGATATTCTAAAGAATGCAATAATAATTTCTGTTTTTGCACACAACGTCAATTACTAATACAAATTTTAAAAGCTCATTACTTTTTTGCTTTTATTTTTTAACTATCTTGCTTTATTTCAAATTATTTCCCTCATAGTGTTATTATTTAGAGCATGAGCCAATTTTGAATTATCGTCCCAAGAACGAATTTTCCAATTTTTTTCGCGGCAATCGGGATTCGACCGGGGACTGGTTATCACGAAGTACCGCATGTTCGGCCGCGTAGAATGTATCCTTGAGCATTCTCCCGCTCGTTCGTCGTCCTGCTGGCTGCGGTTCACTGACATTCGCCGGCAGAACGTCAAGTCCAGCATACACTGTCAAGGTCCGCCGGTTCTCTTCTCAATGGCGTCTCGGTGCTGTCACGCAATTTACCTACGGTAATCGACTAGCCGCGAAGGACGCCGCTTCCATCCTTACGCGTACAACGCGATTTCCCTTCCCTCTTCTTCCCCTGCCCCCCGTCTTTCGATCTCTCATACAACGCCATTTATCCTCGTGCGTTTGTAATTTCAGAGAACGAGAGCTCGTTAATTTTCGATAAGCTTTCGCCGCGATTCATTATTTCGCGAATTTCTGGATATTTCTTTCCTTCGGTTTCGACAGGTGTAATTTTAGGCGAGTAGAATAACACGATATTATACAAATCGGGAACGTTTGTCGCTGTCAGTCGAGAAATTGCCTCCGGAAGATGAGTCGCAAACCGGAAATCGAAATCTCGACAGATACCTTCGCTTAATTTCCTCGCGATTGCAGTCACGAGGAGAGGACTCGAGAGACTCTTACAACTGGTCCCTTGGAGAGGAAAAAAAACGGGATTGAATAAATCACAATTGCTACTTCTATTCCTCGGTAGCCATATGGCGCATCTCGTACGCCACAAAAAAAAATTGAAAGAAAACTCGGGCACGTGAAAGATCGATTATCCTGAAATTAATTTCGAGACAGGCGATCTTGTGTGCCTTCCTTCCGCGTAAATTTTTTGCGTCTATGACGACTTGTCAATATCGACGCAATACCTATCCTCTATTAATTACAATGATATATTTCTCAATCTAACGCTATACCGTAATCTCATATCTGCTACGATATTCAGAGTATCAAGTATTCAGAGTATTAAGTATTAATTAATTTCATAAACATTTAAACGAGTAATATATTTTTCATCGAGCGCGGAAAATGTTGGTACATTTCCGTCATTTGTTGCAATTTGCTGATGCTCGGTGGCTATATTTGCGATGCGAAACATGGCCAGGACACGTCGATATAATCGTCGCCGAAATCGGCGATGACTCGCAAATTCGTCATTCGAGCGATAGTCCCGTTTCGGTGCGTTTCGCTTACGAAACTTGGCCGCTTACGCTTTCGTCGATGGCGTGCGTCGGGGGAGGTGACGCGGGCACCGTCCTCTCCTCCCTCCCTCCTACCCTCCCTGCCCCGCCGGACAATGTCGCACTCGAAGACGCGCGTCCCACACCCGGCCATGCGTCGTCGTCGTCGTCGTCGTTATTGTCCTGTACTTATACGATCGGTACCGCAAGTACCAGAGACACGGCTTACTTGGTTCACTTTTGCTGGTTAACGGTAAGCCCGTCAGGAGTCAGTGAGTCAACGAGTCGACGGGGGCGCGCGAGTGTGCGCGCGAGATCCCCACGCACCTCTCGACTCGATCGCGTCCGAGAGAATCGATCTCGTCGCGGCACGCATACACGTATACGGGGTGTCCCAAAGCCACCGAATATCCTCTTAAGGCCACTTCTCGCAGCCCACGCGGAGATAATAATCTCTTCTTAGCGAGAGATAGAAAGAGAGAGAGAGAGAGAGAAAAAAGTTTGAAATCTTGGGGTCTAAGAGATTTAAATTATAACGTTTTATTGTCTTATTTTTATTTATCGTATTTTACATTAAATTATAGTCGAGTGTTTGGAAAAAAGTTTGCGTAAGATTGCCTGAAGATGTATTATTATCTTTTAGATGGTCTCTATTTGAAACTCTTTTTTCGTCAATTTTCTCGGTGAAAAAGTATTCCCGGTGCAAAAGAATTGATTTTTAATTGATCGAGGAAGCTATAATTAAAAGAATATCTGATTTTGAGACACCATGTACACGCGCGTTCCCTCTCGCGAGCGTGTGCATATGATGATGCAATTCTTACGTGTCCGCCATTCTTTCCGAGTTCTCCAACTCGCTCTTGATGCCATCGTTTTTTTTCCACATACACGCCCGAAAAAATCCATTCTTATGCATTAGATAAAATATACAAACAATTGTTGAGGAAGTAATTCTTGATGGAAGCTTTTCGTAGATAATTTTTGAGCAGTTACATTTTTAAGTCATTTAATGGGAAAATTATAAATTTAATATGTCTTTATCAACCGGAAATATTTTTAGATATCGATTAATTTAGTAATAATTAAATAGTAATAATTTTTATTTGGTAATAATAATTTAGTTGATTAGTTTAATCAAGTTACACCTTTATTTTTGTCATTGTATAAATAAAACGCATACATTTGTGTAACAATTTTTTAAAATTGATATTCAATAATTGGAAATTATTATAATAATCAATATTTAGACACTTTATTAATGACACGCGAGTTTATGTAAAACTATAAATCAATTGACTTTGCACAAATGTGTGTCTCATTATATGTATATAGATAATCTCATATACCTATCATTGATGTAAAAATATGAAAATATTTCACAATAATGACAGCACATGTCTACCGAATATAGTTGTTGCGAAAGTGCATAAGAGCTCGAATATTGCGTGAATCGTCGCAATCAAATGCGCTCCGACGTAACAATCATGTTTGACACGATTGATGGTGGTTTAATTGCGCGAATTGCGAATTAATGAGACGCGACGCGCTCTAAAATCGTTCATCATTTCGCATGCTCAATGCGGGATTTTCCTCCGGGTTGTTCACTTTTCACTTCGGTCAACGGATGCATACGTCCTGCATTGATACAATCGCTGTCTGCCATCGCCGCAAAAGTCGAGTACTTTCGATCTCGCGTGCCGATTCCATAATGATCGCATTGTCTTGGTCGCGATAAATCGCGATGACACTAGCTCGTTGCAAAGAATTGAAACGGGGAGAGAAAAAGAGAGATAGTACAATATATGGATAGATCGAAATTTTATTTTGTCTTCTAAGAGTGTACATCTCTTAACAATGATCCCAATTATACCGAGTACGGAAAAGTTGTTTTCCTAAAGCTGATGATTTTAAATTTCTTTCTAAATACATTATATTCATTCTACACGTGCGTCAATTTAGGATAACGCCTAATAATAAATAATTTACACTATAAGAAATAAATAAGAGTAGATAATTGTTTAGTAAGATATTTCAAGAATATTTTCGGGAAATGGAGAAGAAATCGCACGCGCAAAAGAAACGGAAAAAACCAGAGGAATGTTTAAAGTTTAAAAGAAATGAGGCAAAAATCTTGTCCAATACATTATTACATAATTGTATAATATCAATGGAAATGTATCGAAAAAGATCGTTCTCTATACGCTAAAGGGAAACTCGAGAAGAGACGCGAGAAATTCCCGAGGACGAGCCGACCCAATTCCCGAGGAGCGGGCATCCTGCTCCCACTCGCTCCAGCCTCGCCCTCTTATGCCACGATGACGCAACCGAGTGTTCTGCTTCTCTCGTGGAGAAATCCGACGTGCTCGTCTGTCGGTCGTCATTGTCGTCTTCGTCCTCGTGTTTTCGGAGACTCGGTCGAGAAGCGGGGCCATTAAGCCGTCCTCTTCTCTTCTGCTCTACCTGCTCGCGACGTATCATCGCGAAGACGCTACAACTATTCGCTCGGCAATAATTCGACAACGCTGGCCAGCGTACAGGTGTGCCCGTGTGCATGTGTGTAGGCGTGCACACGTACGCACGGGCCGTAGAAGAAGAAGAAGGCAGGCCTTGCGAGGCTGAGAGTGGGTTCATCGGACGCCAGCGGCCGCGGATTTACCGTTACGTCTTCTTGGCGAAACCCAGGGAGACCCGTCCACCGGCGCGGCCATATGCCCCTCTCTTTATTTCTTTATTTCTTTCTTTCTTTCTTTCGCCTCTCGTGTCCATTCTTCTCTCTCTCTCTCTCTCTCTCTTTTTCTCTGGCCCTCTTTCTCCGACTTTCAGTCGCGTACATATATATGATCCGGTCTCATCTCCTCGTCCGTCCCACTGAATTCCAGCCCGGCGGATTTGTCGGTAGAAGAAGCGGAAGAGCGCGGAGGATTTGTAGAATGACATTCGAAGAAAGTTCAAAGTTTGTTGGTTTTCAGAGTCGTTGAACTCGCCTCTTTCCGAGATTATTCAGTCGTTCCGCCAACCGGATTATTACGCGCTGCGAACATTGCGAAGAGGGATACAATGGGGTGCATCGCATTTCCATAAGAATTTTCCAGAATAGAAAAAAATGAAATTCAATATCTCGATGAGATAACGAACACGTTTCAATGAAGAAAGAATTTAATCTGAAATTTTTTCTCCCGCGTATCACCTTCCTTTCCATTATTGATTGTCGATTATCAATTTTATAATAAAAACGTAAGAGATTAAATTCCGATATCTTTTTTGAATAAAGCGGAAGAAAAATTATAAATTATGTGAAAACAAA